ACTGTAGTTGAAAAGTTCAGGTAACATTATAAAACCAAGAGAGCTATTTGTGAACATTATCTAAACAAGGGCTACGAAATACCCCTCACCAAATAGAGGGCAACTTTTTCAAGCTTAAAAAAGCAACTGGTCAGTTTCTGGTTAACATTCGAACATGTTTTCCCCCTTCAGCTCCATTGCATCCCTTCATTGCTGTATTTCCTTCTCTGCTGTATTACTATTTGCTGCTGAATAGTATCCCTAACCACTTCGCCTCTTCAACACCCACTGAAGTGTAATTGATTGAAAAGTTAATTTAGGCAAATTCAAAACAAATCCTGTTTGCCATGTTTTTTTTAAAAAGGCTCAGGTCACAACTTAAATCTTCATATTGAATTTGAGTTGACCTTATCTCAAATAACTGGACACTGATAACTGGTTCTTCAAAAAATTCCCCCTTCCACCCATGTTTTCTTGTGGCCGTTACACCAGCCCTTTTTTCCTGGTACACCAATGCATCAAAAAATACTGATATGATACACCAGGGTTGGCCAACTTTTAGCCCGCATTACACATGGGTAGAATAGTCACACGGACCACATGGCCATCCCAGAGTTAAATGATCACAGGTAACACAGAATCTTGGAACAGTAGAGAGTATGAATCAATTCAAGAGGTAAGTACAACAATACTTGCATTTGATACAGCACCATATCTGGTCGAGACATCTCAAAGCACTTCAGAGGCTTTTGATGTAAACTGTGTATTTTTAGAACGTGGCAGTCAATAGATACATTTCCGGAGAAAGAATGGATTGTAAAAAATTGAAAGAGACTAATTTACCAAATAGTGGATTTACCAAAAAGCAAGGTTTTTTGGCCAAGCAGCCTTTTCCTAGTAAAATCCCTGTTCCTATACTGTATTGCATGAATATCTGCAACTTCATGAAGAATGGTGCTTTTGTTGCCTCCAGGGATTGTGTTTAAGAAATTCAGCCACACAAGGGCTGTGAATAACATCTGCCGGTGGGGGGTGGGGGCAGGTCGGGGGTTCAAAATGCAACTATACTTTTTGATATCTGTCCTTCCTTCCACTAAATCTGATGAATTTGTACCTTTAGACTGTCAATAATGTTGCTTTGTTGTCGTGAGAGTACCTGCTTGGAATAGGCCAAATGGCTTTTTTGTAGGATTTGTCTTTGGATTTAGAATAAGAATTATTATTAGTTATTATAATGAGCAATAAGGGACTATATCAAATGCGAGGATTGTTATTGTTATTATTAACAAGAATTGTCCTGTATCTTGAGATAGACACTTTAGCATTTATTGTATTTCAGATACTCTGCTGACACAGGTTAATTTATTTAGAACCTGGCAAGCTACTTGAAACACAAGTCTCAGCAACAATTTAAAATGCATTTTCTATTCCCTTTCATTTCCATCTTTCTAGCAGTTGTACCAAGTGAAAAACAAGTGAAGTTTCTCGTGTCAATAAGGGTAATCCACTCTGACGTGTCTGCCAATTTCCTTTCTCCCATCCCGATTGTACTCAATCCCTCCTCTTAATGTCCTCTTCAATAATGGTAACTCCCCATGTGTCTTGCACCTCTACAGTGCAATTATGTATGAATTTGCGGTACATAGATAGGTGTTTGTGATCATGAGTAAAATTGGGAGACAGAAGAGGGCATTCCAAATATTATTGGATAGAAAAAAAACGAAAAAAAACACAAACACACCATCCAAAGTTATACTTCTTTAATTTGTATTGGATTTGCCAAAATACCTAGTACTAAATCTACCAACTGTGAAGATAGATTCTGCAAGAAACTGGCACACTTCAGTAATAACTGAAAAAATACCAGCCTCCTGGGTCAAAATATGTCTAATATCATACAAAACATTCACCACAAAGCAATTTGAGATGCTTGATGTGTAAAATCTAGCTTAGTGCACACTGATATAATGGAAGGCCAGAACATGCATGTAAAAATAGTTTAATACTTGCTTAATGGATTGTATTTTCATTTACTTAAGAATATAGATATTGGCAGAGACATGTTCTATGACAGAATACATCACACTCCTGAAAAAATGAAAATGCAATTAAAGTCTAAAATATGATTTAACAGCCATATTGTGTCGTAATGTTATCTCAGAATTGCCACAGTACTGAAGAATACCCCCCAAAATATACACGTTCAAGATTGTTTATTTCAAATTAAAACAATCCTTAGTATATTAGTGCAAAATTCTGTAACAATGACATTGCCATCTTTACCTAGGTATGGAAAAATAATTTTATAACATCCAAATATTAAACAGTCTCAGAAGAATCATTGCAACAAGGGCTTCAGTTAAATAAAAACTGACAGCTGCAATTTTTCTATTTTAGATTCATAGCAAATATCTCTTATGGCAGAAATAAATTAATCTGTCTTGAGTTTATCGAAGTGTCTTGGTATGTGGCGTGAATTAGAGTTCCCTTTACAGCAATTACACTGTGGAGCCACTTCTAGATTCTGAATGGTGCGTGCCCTCGTTCTGCCCCTGATCTCTTTCTGGTTCTGATTTAAACTCCAGGTTGTCAACCCTGCACTTCACGGCGTGCAGTGCATAGTTTACACTTGTATTAGTAATCCAGCTCCAGGAGGCTGAAAGGGGATTATACAGCATTCCATTGACCGTCTCCACTGTAAAGCCATCTGAAAAGCATAAACAGGAAAGGTAGGATTCATCGTTTTAATGGAAGTGAGATTAATATTCCATTAAAAATAGAATTAAAATCAGCAGCCTTAATAAGGAGAGAAACATCCTAATATCTTCATTGGTTTACTTTCTATGCGCAAAACACTATTATCGTACAATTAATATTAAAAATCTGAAAGGAAATCTGTCCCTCAAATTATAAGTAGATTTTTTTTACTTGATGTCTCACAAAAGGCTTTAAGCATCTGGTCTTGGGTCTTAGATTTCAGCCCTTTTAGGTTTTGTCCCATCCCTACAGACATTAGATACTCACATAAATGGAAAAAGGAAAATTGACACGTTGAGTTGTTTTCTAACAAATATTAATGTACGTTCCTCCAAGTAATGCTCTGCTTCTAAATGCAAGTCTTAGTGGTCTGTCAATTTATTTTAAAAATATTCAATTTTAATAACCAGGATAATGCAGCTGGTAGGTTAAAATGACAAGAACAAAATAAAGATTTGTAATAAGCAAAGATGTGACCCATTTTGATTCAGGGATTACATAAATTAGCACTAATCCTAGTTATACAAACAGTTTATTTATATCATTCTTTGCAGATAAATCTAGAGTCAATGCAAAACCTTTAACATTATGGTAACAGCTTACAACGGCTTCTCCTCTAGTCCCCGCACTGTCACGTGTAGCGTCCCTCAGGGCTCTGTCCTTGGTCCCCTTCTCTTCAATCTCTACATGCTCCCGCTCGGCAATGTCATTGGCAGGCATAGGGTCAATTTCCACATGTATGCGGATTACACCCAACTCTATCTCACCACCTCCATCCTAAACTCCAGGACTGTTGATGTCCTGGCTAATTGTCTGTCTGACATCAATTCCTGGACGAGAGCCAATTTCCTCCAACTTAATGTTGGCAACATAGAGGCCCTCCTGCTTGACTTCCGGCTGCGCCTCCTCACCTCAGCACTGACACTATCACCATTTCTGGCTGCACTCTTCACCTCAACAAGCCAAACCGCACCTCGGTGTCCTTTCCAACCCTCAGCTATCCTTCAAATCCCAGATTCATGCCATGACCCGTTCCACTTTCCCCACTTCCGCAACACTGCCCACCTCCACCACTCCCTCACCGCAGGCTGCCGAGACCCTGATCCAATTTCATCACGCCCAGCTTGACTGCACCAACACTGAAAATGCACTTTACTCACTGAACTTCAGAATCTTCTCCAGCTCTTCCGGGGAGATGAACTTTTGCCATTCATGTGTCCCACTTGGTACAATTCTTAACACCTTCTCAGCTACCACAATGGCAATTGCGTAGGACAGAGTTGTTTTATTGATTGTTGTTAGGAACAATGATCCTTCAGGCTATTTAAAATATAGAAGAGAAATCACTTATACTACACACCTTTTCATCTGTTAAAAGAATTATTTTAATTGACTATTACACATCAATCCAAATCTGAGTTTTTAATTATACTTCTGGAAGGATGAGCAATGATGAACAACTCGATAAATTAGGACTCTTCAACCTTGAAAAGAGAAATGCCTTAAAAGGGATCTTATATACAACAACAACAACAAAATTACATTTGTAAAGCGCTTTTCACGTCGAGAGGACGTCCCAAGGCTCTGAACAGTCAGGGATCAGGACCTGAGCATGGGGGGGGCAGGGTTGGGTTGAGGGAGGGCAGAGGGGGTAGGAGGGCAGCTGAAGGCACGGTTGAAAAGGAGACTCTTGAGTCGTGCCTTCAATAAGGCAAGAGGGAGCAAGGCAAAGGGATTGTGGGCTGGAGTTTCAAAGGGTGTGGGCACAAAGGCTGAAAACTCGGTCGCCGATGGTAGGGAGAGTCGGGCGGGAGATATGGAGTGGGCTGGAGCCTGCTGAGAGGAGGGAGCGGACAGGTTGATACAGGATTAATACGTCCGAGAGGTAGGAGGAGGCAAAGCCATGGAGGGCCTTGAAAGTGAGGATGAGGATTTTGAATTCTATCCTCTGAGGGATGGGGAGCCTTTAGAGCTGGGTGAGGGTGAGGTTAATAGCGTCACGGGGCTGGAAGAGAAACCGTTGGCGGAGACCATGTGAGAGATAAGACCTGAACCATTCAAGGACAGACCCTTGAAGGATGAGGTGAGAGGAGAGGCCGTGAAGGGAGTGGTAGGAGAGGAAGGAACCAAGCTGGGAAGCAACGACTCTTTCAAGGACCTTGGAAAAAAAAGGGATGGGCTGGTAGTTGGAAAGCAGGGATGGGTCCAAGGAAGGTTTTTTCTGGAATATAGGCACATATGGAGTTCTGTAGCTCAGTGGTTAGAGCACTCGTCTCACAAGTAAGAGATTTCGGTTTGATTCCCAGCAGAGCGAAATGTTGGACAAGTTTCCTTGCTCCACACGCCTCTGTTTACCTAGCAGTAAGTAGGAACCTGGTTGTTTGTTGATTGGTGGATCACTTTTCCAGGGGTAATAATTCCTTAAAAAAAAATAATTATAAATTGGTCACTCAATCCATGACTGTTTGTGGGACACTGCTGTGCGCAATTGGCTGCCGCATTTCGCCCACAAAATATACAGTTAATTCACTTTACAGTATAATTGGTGAAGCGCTTTGAGATGTCTCAAAGACGTGATAAGGCGCGATATCAAATGCAAGGATTATTATTATTATTATGATCCAAATCTACTTTTTCAATCTGAAATTATCCAGGGAAGCATTAATTTCCCTGAATCCTTCCGAATTGAAAGAGCTAACAGGATAACTGTTCAATTAGGTTCTTAGGAAAGATGGTGCTGAAGATTTGGGCTTAAGTGTAATTAACTCTTGGTATATCATCAGAGGCAACCCTGACACAGAGATGTGAAGTCTGTAACCCAGATAGCACCCTCCCCAATTAACAGGAGGATGGATATTGACAAACAGCTTATAATAATCCTTGCATTTGATATATCTTAGAAGGGAGGGAGAGTATAAAATAAAAAAGTATAACATTAAGAAAATATATGGATGACCCATTCAACAGATCAATGTACCATACAGTGACAAATTATTGGTTTGTTTGCTTGCCCTTATTTCTAAAAAGGTCCATACTTTTACGATTTGTATATCATACAAATTGTTGAATTACATTGGATAAGTCACATCCGCTCAATGAAAGGATCTACTTTGATGGTATGCCATTTCACAAAAAGGACACTAATCATGTCATAACAAACAATTTTGTTTCGTAGCTATGCCAACAAGTGAATATGATTAACATATAGCAAAATAATATTTGCACGCGATATAGCACGTTTCGCCACAAAACACAGTCATTCACTTTACAGTATGTTTTGTGAAGAGTTTTGAGACGTTTCGAAGACGTGATAAGGCTCTAAATCAAATGCAAGGATTATTATTATTATTATTTCATGGACATCTCAAAGTGCTTCACGAGAATTTTACTGTGAAGTTCAGTATCTATGCATTTTGAAGGTGGAGGAGGCAGGTGAACGATGTGCGAGCACATTACACCATATCTCAACTTTGGTTTATTGTCATTGAATACAATTTATTCTATTAATACCTTTATCACTTGTGCACAACATCTGATGAATGTCTCCACATCATTCACATGTTCCACAACTTCAGATGCTATGACTGCATCAAACTTTCCTGTTGTTTCCGTTACCAATTCCTCCAAGGAGCAGGCACTATACTGTATGTGTTCTTGCAGAATGGGATCAAATGATTTATGTACTGTTGCGGTTTTAATATTTTCTTCCAAAGGATCAATTCCAGTAACCTCTGCCCCAAGTCTGCCCAGTGGCTAAATAAATGAAATGCAGAGTCAGCAAAAGCCTGAAAACAGTTTAGAAAAACAAATCATACTGTTCCTTTGGAACCACCTAAAAACATAATAACATAAGAAATGCTAGTATTTCTGGCAGTCGCATGCACAAATGTCCCGAACTACCTATGTACTATATCCCATAATGTTATTTCCTAAAAGAAAACTATCTAATCTGTGTTTGAAAGAATCAACACTTCCTGCTTCAACCATCGCCTTAAGGAGCCTGTTCCACAGGTTCACTATTCGTTGACTGAAATGTTTGCATAGATTCGTTCTGAATTTACTCCCCTTCAATCGCAGGCTGTGTCCTCTAGTTTTACTATTCTGGACAAGTTGAAACAGCCTGTCATGATCTATATTTTCTTGCCTCTTTAGAATCTTAAAGACAGCAATCATGACACCTGCAAAAGAGAAGTCATTTACAAAATAAGTAAGCATAGATCATAGAAAATACACTGGGAATTCTCCTTTAAATGTCCATTTGATTTGTTACATTTACAAATCTTCTGGGAACTGGCTCAAGTCTGCCTAGTGGACATTGAATAAGAATACTAGCTTGACATTTTCCTCTCCTCTCCCCACACCCAATTAGCTTATTGACCTTCGCTGTGAAAGCTCACACAAAAAGAATGCGACTACTTAGTAAAGTATCTTAGAGCTGTTGGTTGTCATGGAACTATATCCCAGTACAAGTTAGCAACTTCAGAAGAGGGAAAATAACAGAAGAAATAAAATAAAGCTCATGATCTTTTGCCAAATTCCCCCCCCCCTCCTCCTCTCCTGTTGTAGGGGTTTGCAGTTGCTTGCAACCTTCTAGAACTTTGCCCAAGTAATCCTTCTCCGTATGTGAGCCTCGACATTAACTATTTTTTATTTGACAGATCAGGCAAGCATAAACCTGTTAACTGATGCTCACTTCTCTTCTCCAAAGCCCAGACGCAAAGCATTTTAATGAGAGTCGACAACAATATAATTACTGTACCTCACACAGCAGGCCCCCTCCACAGCCAACATCTAGAATCATGAATCCATCGAGAGGACATCCTAATTGTTGTTTTTCACAATAGGTCAACAATGTATCTCTGAAAAGGATTAGCGAGAAACCAAAATGATTACTGTGCATATTACTTCCCTAAAGGTCAGACCGAAGAAAAAGATAGTATAGCAAATTAACTCCTTAAAATTGTTGTTTTCAGTTCTGGCAGTAAATTCAACCTTTATGAAAAAAAATCCAATTTACAATTTGTAAAATTGTATGGGTAATAAATAACTGACACGAGGTTTCAACATAAGTAAAACTGAGGGACTGTGCTTCAAAACTTGACTGATCATGTTGTGACGGCATTGCTTAAAATTTCAAAACTACCTTTTATATTTTGAAAGTTCTAGCACAGGAAAGCACTGAGTGTCCCATTACTCTGTCAAAGCAATAAAGGAGATAATAAAATTGAGCAATCGCAACCAATAAGTTAAAATATCTTAACTGATTACTGAACATACACTGTACTACAAATGCAAATTTCACTTGGCATGCTTAGAATTTAACCAATTTATACATCAGTTCTTTTTCTACCCGCCTTCATTTTTATCCTTGAAGTGCTAACTGATAGTGCAATATGGTTCCATGGACACCAACCACCCTCCAATATCTCAAGCAAGTTGCCATTGTTGATCAGCAAAGTCAAACAGTGGGTATTGGAGTCAGAAACAGTTCATCTCAGCCCATCCTGCCCTTGCTCAACACGTGCTACTGGATAGCAATCATTAGCATGAACCCTTGTTGATTTGTTAACTCTCTCTAGTCCAAGAGCACCGAGACCAATTGTAAAGTCTCCTCACTGCTAATTAAACCCGGGCCCTTCCAGATCTGTATAGTTCAGTTTCACAATAGGCTGAACAGAGGTGTGGAAGGTTAAGATCAGTATTTATTTCCCCCACTTCCCTCTCCGCCTCCTTGCACCACTGGATGGACCATCCCAATCTATGGGTAAACCTAAACAGGAAATTAAGTTCACCCTAAAGGTGACAAAGACATCTTGGACTGACAGGTATCAACCTATCAAGGATATCTATTTTGATTTCTATTAAAATGTAAACTTTTCTATTTTTAAAAATGGCCAGTCTTCATGAAAATATGTTTATTATAAACAGCACACAATTCCTGTTTGTTTGATTAGATAGCTTGCCTGTGTGGCAAACATATCCTTCACCTGGCTTTTCTCCATCATAATAAAATGTTTACCAAGTTTTTTTTTAAAAAGAGAGAATCCCCTTAAAAGTCATCAATTATGATACACGTAAAATTGGATTAAGACAAGTAACCTGAAACATTACAGTACCGGATAAAAGGAACCCGAAGCTCGTTTAAAGCATGAAGAGCTGCAAATTCTCCCTTTTCATCCCACCATTTCTGTGACAGGGCCTGAAACCTCTTCAGTTCCTCGGGATCCACAGTTGTGTTGTAATGTGTCTGTGATGTGCCGTATGTCCTATTAAAGCAGCAGGAAATAAACACTTTGATTGCATTGCACTCCTATGTCTCTCAACTGTAAAATCTTTGCAATCAATGATATTTTTAAACAATTTTGGAAGTAATACTGATATATCAAGTTTCCCAACAGGGTGAAACCTTGGTCAAGTTTCCTTACTCCACACGGCTGATAATAATCCCTCAAGAAAAAAAAACAATAATAAATTGGTCACTTCAATCCACGACTGTTTGTGGAACACTGCTGTGCGCAATTGGCTGCCGCATTTCGCCCACAAATATACAGTCAATTCACTTTATAGTATATTCTGTGAAGCGCTTTGAGACATCTAGAAGACATGAAAAGCGCTATATCAAATGCAAGGATTATTATTATTATAAAATGCAAGGATTACTATTATTATTATAACTCAGCACTCCAAGGGAAAAGGATCCAGTAACAAATTATCCAATGTGACGAGTTAGCCATTGGTCCTCACCATATGCTTCCAGGTCACTCTACCTTGCTCTCTCTCTCTCGCTCAGCCAACACCCACTTGCTGCATCTGAGCACATGCATCCAACCTCTGCCGAGCGTCTGCACCAGTCACAGGATAGAACAGGAGGTAGGATGGGAGACTGTGGTACAGCCCTCCAATGGACGAGAGGCCTCTGCAATGCATCTGAGCATCTGCACCCAACCTACGCTGAAAACCCTCACTAGTCATAGGACTGGGCAGGGGGTCTCTGCAACGCAAGACGCCATCTTACAGGACGAGTTATCTGATCAATTTTACATTGTATGTACTTACAAGAATTTCTATAATGCAACAAGTTACGTATTAAGCAGAGTGACGAGTAAAGCAATATCCCTTATTAATAGTTTATATGGGTCAGGATATTGATGACATGACGATTGTTTCCAGGTCAGGGCGAAACCTTGGGCAAGTTTCCTTACTCCACACAGAGCCTAATAATAATCCCTCCAAAACCAAAACAATAATAAATTGGTCATTTTTAATCTACGATTGTTTGTGGGACATTGCTGTGCGCAATTGGCTGCCGCGTTCACCCACAAATATACAGTCAATTCACTTTACAGTGTGTTCTGTGAAGTGCTTTGGGATGTCCTCCCGACGTGAAAAGCGCTATATCAAATGCAAGGATTATTATTATTATTATAAGTGACAGTGATGAATTAAGAGGGTTGAGGTATCCAGAGTTTACTGTATAAAATTAGAGCTAACTCAACAAGGAAGCTGTACTGCAGAAAAGGGGATGCTGTTTATATGCTATGTACAGTAAACTCCTACAAAAGACCCCGATTTAACCTGTCACTACCAATTAAATCATTATGCTGTCAAAAACCCAAATGCATTTATTTATGCATTTATACAGCACCTTGGGACTTGTATTTTGTATTGTACATGTGCCTAACTCACTACTCCAGATTATATATCACTGAGCCCTTTTCCCTTGGAGATATCAGGAGTTTACTGAACTTCAGCCTCTGTGAAGTAGGTTTCAAGCTAAAAAGTGATATTTGTGTACAGACTATGATATTTTCAAAAAAAATACTGTACCTACATTCACACAATACTGCTCATTAGTACCTCTTTGTTTTAATTTTCTAGCCCCATTCACTAAAACACAAAATCAGGTGTTTTTTGTTCTTTAAATATGCTACTTTGTTGTTTCAGCGCCTTGGGACGTCCTCCCGACGTGAAAGGCGCTCTATAAATGGAATCTTGTTGTTGTTGTTGTTTCTCTCTCTTCTTAAGGTGCTGACCTTAGTTGGGGAATAGTTTCACAGGCACCAGCTGCCTTTGACTTGTCATTGAGGGCAATAGTATTACCACAACTATTTCACCGCGGGTCAGGAATTGAATTGGCGATTTGAGCCATTTCGCTCCTGACACTCTTGACGTGATTACTGCTCGTAACCGACAAGACGAACACCGAGAGCCGCCAACGATCTTACAAAGCTCAGTGCTGAAAGTTAGTAACTCTGAGCACCGCACGGCTCGCAATAAAAAAAATAGGTCCCCACTGCTATCATCGATACGCTCAACATTCACACAGTGCAATTTGTTGTCGTCACTTAATTTAAACCTGTTTCTCCATGTCATCGCCTGCGATTATTTCAAATTGCCGCTTCTTTCCTTTATTAAATGTTAGAAAAATTCGTACTTATCCTCTAGATGTGTGTGGGGGGGGGGCGGCGGAGGCTTCATTTTGCATCGCTCATCAATTATATTTCACCAGAGGAACCTGACCCCCCGGGGCCGTGTCGGAGGGTTTAGTCAAGTTCACACCCAGTTGCGCTCGCGTTTGTCGTACCGCGCGTTTGCATGTGATACAGCGCCTCACCGCCCCCTTCGAGACGTCTCCGAGCGCTTCACGGGATACACTGCGAAGTGTAGTGACTGGTTTTTTTTTTGCCGCGCGAACGAAACACTGGGGTCAAGTCCAGTGCCGGGTTGACTTTGGGCTACAAAAGGGTGTGTGCGTGTGTGTGTGTGCGCTCTCCAGCCGGTGGCCACCCCACCCCACCCCGCCCCCCCCCCCGCCCCGCGGGCGGCTCGCGCTCACCTGCTCACTGCAGGCGGCACCCGCCGGGAGCTCGTGGCCGCCGCCGCCGCCGCGGCGTTCCAGCCGCAGAACGCGGCCCGGAGCGCGCGCCGGGAGGCAGAGAGCATGGCCGACCCCGCAGCTGCTGCTGCTGCTGCTGCTGCACCACCTCCCACAGCAGCACGTCACAGTCAGTCAGTCAGTCAGTCAGCGCGAGTGCAGTGCTGCACTTTTTACGCTCCCACTGGCACCCAACTCTTTGACCATTCGGGCCCGGGATTATTTGTTCCGGGCTGGCTTTTGTTTTTGCAAACAGGCAAACCCACCCACCCATCCACCCAGCTCTGCCTCTGGCAGAGCTGGGTGGATGGGTGGGTGGGTTTGCCTGTTTGCAAAAACAAGGCATTTTTTTTTAAAAAAAAAGTACAAATTATTCCTTGTGTCCTGGTTTCTTTGTTTTTTTTAATAAAAAAGCTCAAGCGAAAGTGCAATGATAAGTTTAGTTCCTGAACTCCATCCCACAGTCCCTTCGCCTCCTCGCTCCCTGCCTTGCATCCTTCAAGGCGCATCTCAAAACCCTCCTCTTCGACCATGTCTTCGGCCACCACCCTCCCTCCACACTTCCGGATCCCGACCCCCAGCTCAGGTCCAAACCCTGACTGTCCACGGCCCTGGGAGGTCCTCCCGACGTGAAAGGCGCTTCACAAATGTAATTTTGCATTGTATTTAAGGAATAAAAGTTTTGGTGCCAACATGTTGGGACGCAGTTTGATTGCAACAATTTGGCGGGATAAAGAATGTTGTTGTCCCAGTGGATTGAAAAAGGCACCAATTACTTTGGACAATTGATGAATGGATCTCATCGGACTAAAAAAAGGCACCAATTACAAATAATCAAGTAATTGGTGTAAACTTAATTAATTGGTTGTTCCTTATTAGCAAAGGGGCTCAAGGCCTATAAAAGGAGCAAACTCATGGTGCTTGAGGTGGCTGTTTATCTGTTGATGCAAAAGGTATATGTTTGACTGTTACTGAGTCGCCCTCTAGGTCAGGAATTGGTTTTTCAGTGCAATCTTAAGTATGATTTTAGTGTTTGTTATTTCTTGTTGATGTATTCATCTGATTTGTTGTGACGTTGCTAATGCTTTGGGTTGTGTGTTTCATGGAACAGCAATAAAATTCTGTTGCGTTTTCTTGACTGCTTTCTCGAGTCTCTGTAATCAATCTGGAAGGAGGGGACACATAAACTGGTTGAGCCTACATCAGTCTCCGAGTGCGATAGACTGCTGACTGAAGCTTCCCAATTAGCTGTAATATAAACAGTAATTGGCAGTATCTGTTGTCGTGGTAACTCTCACTGGTGAATTACACCTTAACCACAGGGACTTGCACTTATAGAGAGGGATTGAACACTGAAGTTCACTCTGTGAGGGTGGGCGAGACACATGTCGTGGGTATACAAAAGGGGTGAGAATTGTCGTACTTGGTGATGGGAGTGCTATACCAAATGCAAGAATTATTATTTATTATTACAATAGACTAAAAATTAAACTCCCAAGTATGATACCAGCAATGTTTTTTTTAAAGAAACAGCTGCCATCCACATTAAGTCAGCCCTAATCAGCCATTATCCTGAGAAAAGCAGGACTGTGGTAACTTTTACTTAAAGAAAGTTTACGAGGTGACATTTGTGACTTACAGTATGCTGCAGGTGACCATGCATTTAACATATCAAGACACCTCAAAGCAGTGACTATTTATTTGTAGCAAATGCAGCAGCCAATTTGTGCACAGAAATGTCCCACGAACATCCGTGAAGTGAATGACCAATTTTGTCCAGTGAATTATTGGCCAGTACACCATGAGAAACTCCCTTCTCTTTTCAAAAATAGTTGCTTTAATGTCTCGTCTTGTTACGAAAGGTCAATATGTTCTGAAAGTGTGTGGAATTCTGCAAGAAATAAATTTTGAAGTCCTGATAGAAGACCTTAAGTTTAATGCAGTAAACCCATGGCTTACTGGACTCCGGGTATCCAGAATTTGTATCTAGCTGGACTGGGTCAGAAACTGAAAATTAAAAGAACTTCCATAGGCCCACCTGTAGACTCCTGCTGGCCACTCTCCCTAGCATGTTGAGCAGCCTCACTGTCCTTAATAGCCTTCAATTGCCAGGAATATTGACTTTGACTCCATTTGAATCCCTCGGGCACAAAATAGCTTATTCACTATCTTCAGCTTGCAGCGTTTAACCAATTACAATGCCAGTACCCGCAGTTACTAGCACTGAAAAAGCCACTAAATGCCAATACCAGCATTATAATTACACTTAGCCAGAAATTCTGAATGGCCCTCCTCCCTCCCTCCAACCACATTAGGCCAGCTTGCCAGGGTTTCAGTGTATAGATAAATGCAAGGTACTCCATAATAGGAACTAAGAAAGTACTCCATGGATTAAATAGAACTTACCAAAGGGAAAGCTGAGATCTAGGGTGTTAGTTGACTCATTGCTCACTATGTTAAAACAATGTGAGGCAGCAGTAAACAAAGAAAACATGATGCTGGGCTATACTGTGAAATCAATGGAGTTATGATCCCCAGATATAATATTTGTGCTGTATAGTGCTCTGCTCAGGCAGTACCTAGAGTATACATAGTCTGGTCACTGCGATATAGGGGGGTTGCCCAGGCCTGAGAGGCAGTGCAAAGAGGAGCAACAAGGATGATCCCCAGCATTAGAGGAATGAGCTGTGAGCAACAATTAGACAAACTAGGACTCTGTTGTCTTGAGATGATTTAGGGAGAGAAATTCAATTTATATACTGTCCTTCACATGGGGTAGCATCTCAGAGTCTCTGCCCCCAGTAACAGGTCTACCTTTCTAAGTCCTGCCGATGAGCCAGGCTGGTTGGGGTGTCATCAGCAGTGATCTGGAGAACTGCGGACCCGCCTGGCTCAGGAACTGGATTAGAGACTGGCAGAGGATTGTCAAATTCTTGCATTCTGTTGCCAAACATGTCACCTTGTACTATTTCAGTTCCAAGGAGACCTGGCTTAACCCTTCTCCCCAAGGAGGATGGTCATTTGATATCCGATAAGCGTGGGTTTGAGCTCTAGGTGGGCAGCAGGTACCAGAAACTCCCTGCGAGCTTCCTGGTGGGCAACACAGGTCAGCATGAAAAGCATGAGGGGGTGAAACCTTAGGCAAGTTTTGTTACTCCACATGCCTGTTTACCTAGCAGTAAGTAGGAACCTGGTTGTAAGTTGATTGGCGGATCACTTCCCGGGGGTAATAATCCCCTTTTAAATAAATAATAATTTGGACCCTCAATCCATGACGATTTGTGTGCCACTGCTGTGCACAATTGGCTGCCGCGTTTCACCCACAAAATATAGTCAATTTACTTTAAAGTATATTCTGTGAAGCACTTTGAGACGTCTCGAAGATGTGATAAGGCGCTATATCAAATACAAGGATTATTATTATTATTTTCCTGCCCATAGCTCAAGACACCCATCCCTTCATAATGAGAGATGGTTCAACTAGTTGGGAGGTGCAGAGCTTGAGCATCATCTGTTTACCTCTGCAAACCAGTCAAGGAGGATTCTAAACACAGGATGTACCGATGCGCGGTTCACAAACTCGGACTTAAACTGTAACATTCCAAGTACTGTTCTAAATTGCCATTTCTTTTCAGTCAGACAAGCCAAAGAGGATTTTATAAAACAACCTATAAAAGAGGGTGGCGGGGGGGAAAAGACCTTTATTCTTCGGCTTCTATAATTCCCAATGTACGATTTTCATCTTGGCTACTTTTTCTATTCATGTATTTTTAGAGTGGCCTAAACCTGATCACAGTACGTAATTGCCTTTAACCTTCACACCACTTAAAAATATGAACACATGCTTGCAATTTCATTATTATAATCCTCTCTTCAAAAGTGAAATGATGCAGGCATTCAGGTATTGACTTCTCTATCAACAAATTATAATAATTTGACTATTTTTTTAAGCAATTAAGTCAGTACATTCTAGAAATGCACACCTTTATTTGCATTCTTCCATACATTTACTTTGAGTGACTTTTTAAGTAATTTCAGAATGCAAGACAATGAAATTTACTTTACCCACTTTAAATTTGCCCTATGTACTTAAAATCCTATTGCCGACCATTTTGCTGTTAGTTTTACTTCATGAAGATAATGCCACTTAATGCCCCACATTGTGGTCTTGCATCATTCTGGACTAGAACCACCAGTGGTATTTTAAAAAAATCCATTGTTAAAAGCAACCTTAAGGGTTCAGATGTCGCCAAGTGATTTATCATGTCATCTGGCCCTGATTGGAATACTGATTTCTAATCCACTCCTGTTCATTCAATATCTTGTAAATCTCAGTCCTTCCTGCTGATTGTACCCTAAATGCGTCAAGGAACATAAATGTCAGCAGTAAACAAGGGCAAATGTATTTATTTTAACAAAGCCAATCTGAAAAGTTTATTGACAGCAAACTACAGGTCAGTGTTAAGTTTAATGTTAAAACGTTACAGCTGAAAGCAAACTGTTTACAGTGTGAATAATAATCTTGGAAGAATGCAATACAAATAAAACCTTAAGCAAGCACTGAACTATAGACAGCACTTGAAAAAATGTACACCTATATACATATAAACACCTACACAGTTGTCACGTATGCCTCTATAATGAGACAATCCTCCAAAACTCATGGAATTTTTCAAGATCATCATGGCAAAGGATGCCAGACAATTTTTCCCCCTCAATGCTTACGGTTATTAGGAGTTCTCGACCTGCAGAAAAAAAGGAGAAAAAAAACTATTAACGTATAAAAAAACATTTTCTATAATTAGCTAACTATTTGAAAGTATAGCATTTCAAACTAAGTTTTTTGATCACTTAATGGAAACAACATAGAAGATACCAATATGTCCTTGCCATTTTAACAGTATTGGCCGTTTAAGTTTACACATAAAAGAAAAATAATATAAAATGTGTACTACCTTGATCGTGACTTAGACTTGTGTTTGCGGCTTGCCTTCTTACCAGACCTTTGAGATTTTTCCACTGATCTTGAGCGACTGCGTTTAGATTTCTTTGACTTCTTTTCTCTGCCGCTATCCGGAGAACGAGAGCTGCTCCTTGCACTAGATTCTGTGTCGGAGTGTTTTTTACCATCCTTTGTGGAACTTTTTTTACTAGACTCACTATCTTGTCTAGAGTACTGCTGTGGAAGCTTACTAGATGAGTCACTGCGTGAATAAGTCCTCACTGAATCCCTTTTTCGCTTCAACTTACTCTCATCCTGACTATTTGATTTACTATTATCATTATCCTCTTTCTGTTTATCCTTGCTTCTCTGCTTGTCTCTCTTTTTGTCCTGATCCTTTTCTTTATCCCGTTTCTTTTCCTCTTTCTTTTTATCCCTCTCTGTACTTTTGCTCCTATCTTTCTTCCTATCCCTTTCCTTACTGCTTCGATGCCTTATCCCACTCTTGTCACTCCTACGTCTTTCAGGAGTCCTACGTCTTTCCTTGCTCTTACTGCGACTAGCGCGCTTGGCATCACTTTTACTTCTACTCCTGATTCTATCCCTGCTCTTTCCGTCCCGAGACCCACTGCGGTTCCTTCGCCTTTCTCTATCCCAACTCCCATTTCTGCTGTTTCTCCTGCGTCTATCCCTGCTCCTGCTCCTCTCTCTCCTGCGCCTACGGGAATAACTTTGGCTTCTACTGTTTCGCCTAGCTTTGTTGGAAGGAGACCTGCTACGGCTCCGCTTTTTCTTCCTCTTAGGGGAAAAGGAATGGGAAGAGCTGCTACTGCTTCCTGTACTAGTGCTTGACGTGGAGCTCCTTGATCTGCTGCTGCTGCTGCTACTGGTACCACTGCTGCTGCTCCCACTACTGCTACTGGAGGAACTTCTGTTTCTTGCCGCTTTCTCCTTTGTATTTTTCTCACTAGAGGGTTTGCTCAAATCTGGGTTGAGTTCAGTTTCACTGTGATTTCTTTTCTTTTCAGTAACGGTTTCAAAATCTTTCTCTTTCCCCTCATGTTTAACTGCACTGCTACCATGTTCTTTACTCTGTTCTTTAACATCCACCTCCCTGAAAATTTTGCCCTCTACTTGATGTTTTACATCTGAGAAAATAAAATAAAAAGAGGAAAAACAAATTGGGCAATAAAACAGCATTTCCAGTTCAATTCAGTTTCTTGAAAACATGTTGCAGTTACACGGCAGGTTGTACATAAAAATCAACATCCCAAACCACTTTACAGAAATAATTGATAAGAAATACAGTGAATGGTGTAATATAAACAAACAGCCAATCTGAAGTTCAGGTGAGTCTGTGATGAGCCTCAATGTGGTAAAAATGGGAGGAAATAAAACATGATTACAATATATAAATATATGTACATGCGCACACTATAGAATCATAGAATTTTACAGTACTTAAGGAGGCTATTTGTTCCACTGTGCCTGTGCCGATTCTGAAAGAGCTACTACACTATAAAGAAAAAAAATCATGGAATTTTGAACAAATCTTGGAATGCTACAGTAAATTAATCTGCATCTTAAAGCACAAATCTTTCAACTGCTGATTAACCTGTGTTGTGAATTTCCAGTATCTGCTTCCACTCAAAACACTGTGGAGTGGAGTGACCATATTTGACACTGCATTTTGTTAATTGCACGTTTAAGAATTCTGTTAGCCTCCGCATAAAACAAATTTAAATTGTGTGGGTGGTTAGTCAGCCCAATTCTGCTTAACATTTCTGACTGGCACAACATCTGTATCTTATTTGCATCTAAGCACCTCCCCATTTCTGTTGGTTTCAAACCCAGCTCTAGTACCAAGCCAGCAGTCAGCGCTTTGAGACGTCTTCCCAGTGTGAAAGATACTATATAAATGTCAAGTATATTGTAGACTGTATGCAATTGTATTGTAAACATTTAGAAGGAGGTAAAGAGAGAAATTAGCACAGCACCCTAACCATTCCAAATGGTTGTGGAAAGCATGACTGTGTGGATGCCAACAAAGACAGATTGGAACTGATTTTTATGAACCACCACAGTTGAACACTCACTGAACTGGCCTCACACAAAGAATTGTTGTTTAGCCAAGGTGCTGCATAACAATTTCCACCTGTGGTACCTCAGCAATGAGCCAGTTTCAGTACAAAAAATGGGCAGAATGAATATCTAACAGGAACTTTTCAGGATTCCCTAGTTTTTTTTAAAAAAAGGGAGTGTGGGTCAGCATAATAATATATAGGGTCTTCCCTAAGATAGCAATTATACCTTCGATTTGTTTCTCCTGCTGTTGCTGTTGTAGGAGTTGTAGCAGTAGCTGCAGGTCCCTCTCTTTGCGTCTGAAAGCCTCTTGTTTCTGTCGAATTCTACGGTGAAGTTCTTCATCGTCTGTATCAGACGACTCGGAGGCTCGCTCACTTCTTTCATCTTCACTGTCAGAGCCATACCCGCCCAGTCCACCTGCACATACAAACCCCAGTCTCTTTCACAGTGGAAAGAAAGTGCTGCTTTCTAGCACATTTTTAATACAGTTCATTTTAAAGTTTGCATTAACTTCTAAAAAAAAATGAGTCTTTCAGCATTAGAACTATTTGCATATTGCAAATTGAACATTTAATACAAACTTTACATCAAAATACTTTCTAAAACTTAATCCATGTAGGAAAAATTAATATCTTCCAATAGTTAATGACTATAAAGTCAAATCTGAGGTAGCAACACAATTGGTAGAATAGAGGTCCCTTTCATAGGATTTCACCAATCTGAGATTGATTTCTCAATCTGGTGAGCTTCAAGTTGACTAGAAAGAAATTTCTTCTTGAGCACCAGCTATGTTCAGAAGTGTTTGTTATTTTTAAGTATTTTTGTTGAAGACATTCATATATTGTATGCTATCTTAAGGTTCACCCAATGCTCAAATGGATATGTGGTGCTAATCCACACAAACAAGGACGATCTCAGGCTCAATATGGAATTAGCTGGAGATGGGATGGAGAGTTGGAAAGAGAAAATTAGCCATAACTATTTGCTCCTTATACCTATCCATTGTTACTTGCTGGAAACTACACTCATGTGCATGTTTGATGAGCATAGGATTGGACTCAGCAATAAATTGCCACCCCTACACAAACAACAACAACATTCCATTTATAGAGCGCCTTTCACGTCGGGAGGACGTCCCAAGGCGCTGTACAGTTGGGTCAGGACCCGAGCAGTGGGGAAATGGTCAGGGTGAGGGGAGGGAGCAAGGAGGGGGTAGAGAGTCGAGAGGGGAGCTGAAGGCATGGTCAAAGAGAAAGGTCTTGAGACCGGCCTTGAAGGAGGAAAGGGAGGAGGCGGCGAAGGCACTGGGGGATAGAACATACACACACAAAATAGCTCAGCAGCACTCGATGGCTAAGATCTCATTATGTGAGATGAATAATACTTTGGGTTAGTTATCAGAGGATCAACGGCACTTGTGATACTGAACACGAGAATTTATCATTGCCTTCAGGGAAGAGAATTTTTTTTTAAAAAGTGCATATACTTTACTCCAATACTAAAATATATCACAAATCTATCTTGATAATCTTCAATTTAAATATTAGTTGAATATGCAAAACCTGATATCTAAATATCAGTCTGTAGATTAATACAGATTTCTACTGAATTTTGTCACTACAATATTTTTACATTTCAGCTCTGAGAAGTATTCAATTTGTACAAGTAATTCCACTGATTTGAGGGGATGGGCTGGAATTGCTAATCTTAGCAAAGGAAGAACAATTTCCCAAGAAGACAGCAGACCAGTCTCTTAATTGACATTTTACATTACTGGAAACATCAGAAAGCCTTTCGCAAAAGAAACTGTATGCTGATGTTCTTAGGATCTCCTAAGGCCTTGCACATAAAGTCACTGTAATGCAGAGCATAATTTAAATAAAATGTAAAATAATTAAATGGCACTTGCAGTGAGTGATAATTTGGTTTGCCAGAGAAGGTGAAAAATGACAACCAAAATAATGGAGATTGCATTTGCAGCTGGTGTCCATTTTCTCCAGTTGCAGACAAGCGGATTGTTACGGGAACAGATCCGACTGGATTTTTTTTAAAAAAAGCTTGTATTCAAACGCTTCATTTCTTCAGTAAAGTGTTTTTCCCATACCAAATACTTAACCGAGTAACCATAATAAATTTGTTCTGCAAAAGCAAGGTTGTGGTACCAGATAGCTTATGACTGAGTGCACTACCAGAAAGGGCAAAAATAAATAGAATAACTGCATTGCAACTCTTCGGATTAGTTCCCAATTGCTGGGTGATTTGATCATTTGCTCAAATCTCAATCTCTTATTTTGGTTTAGTTTTTAGGTTCTCCCAGGTGCCATTTTCTTTCACCAGTTTCTAGCTGGAAAACAAAACAATTTGATACCAAATGTGCATCGTTGCATCAGTGTAAGAAATGTTTTCATGGAATGAAGATGGGGATACGGGTTGCATAGTGTAGAAAGGCCAATGATCAGGTTGACTAGATGAAGTTCTGCAATGTCACAAGTCAGTTCAATCACTGTACAAGTAATGTTTTCCATACAAATGATGTAGTAATCCACAACTGGACTGGAACAATAGAGTGGGCTAAGCACACAAAATGGTTACCTGTTGGGGATTAAGTATACAGATGCAGTACAAATTCAAATTTAAAACCTTGAATAAATCCCCCGTTCTCCCATTACCCCTTTATTCTAAGAAAGGAAACTACTTACCAAGTCCAGTCAGAGAAGCCAGTGCACTGGACTGTGCCAGCTGCTTTGCAGGAGCTTTGTATCACATCAACAACAGGAACAACATGTTAACACTTTTTCAAAGTATTGAGTTTTCTATGGCATTGCAAAACTGTACTATTACAGCTGCTTTGCAAAGAAGAGAAGAAACATTATAAACAAAAAGATCCATCAAGAGCACAGTTCTTCACACAACAGGTTAGATTAAAACGTAAACCTAAAAAGCAAAATCAGGTAGCAGTTTCTAGCATGAAATGTCAAGGTGTCCTTCTCTAATAATGCACCACCAACTAATGAAGAGCGAATGATCTGTGTTTCACATGCCTCATTGCGAAGTAAGCAGACAAAACATTATCTTTTCAAAAATAAAAATCATCCCTGCTGATTTTGCTGCACCGAGGAAAACAGCAGCACTTTTACTAAATACTGCTCCCCTTTTGTGGTCATTTTGATAATATTTTTGTTTCTTCACATAGAAGATAAGTCATCCTCAAAGAAACGAAACCTGAAAAATATGGCAAAATGCTGCCTTTTTAGTAAAATCAGCAATACATCTTGGTATGCAGAATTCAGTAGGAAATATCAATACCAGCTTGATAGTGAATGTAGAATCTGAAGAGGTAGGCCCACTGAACTATCAATCTTAAATTCTGCAATGAATCAAACAGCCTAAATAGTCATAACGCCTTATCTAATTTATACTTAAATTAATTTACTAGCAATACATATATTGATGTTACCTCACATTGTGTCATCTGTTACACAAAAATTGCACTTTGACTGTGCAATAGTAGAGACAGATCACAAAAAAATTAGTCACTGAGCACTGTTTGAAAAAATACATTAATGATTGTGAAGATTGAAAATAACCGAATTTGTTTTGTATGTACTAAAGGTTCACCTCTCAATTTGCTTTTAAATTTGCAAATGCATCTCAAAATAGCGTAACACTGACTTTTTAAAACTAATTATAATCATAATAATTTTATGTGCAAAAAAATTGAGAGGATTTCACCAATTTCTGAGCTACCTGTAAAGAGATATCCATTAATCCTTTTTGATGTTTGAATCAAAACTACAGACATGTTTAAGAACTTGAAACTATAGCCATGCAACTTTATCTTGATGCTGGAACTAAATTTTAAAATGGAAAATAGTGAAACATTTTCTGTGAGATTTGAGTCTTCATTCCCTTTCCTGCTTGTTTTCGTCCTCATTTATTTTCTCTGAGACCCTGTGACTTTATGTTTTTAACATCCTTCTTATTATGCTGATGGAATAGTCTTGCACTTCTATGATTGAAGTTTGGCTCAACCAATGATTTACTTTCGGGATTTGTCTACATGCCCTGATCCATATGAATGGATTCCATTCAATTTGCTCATTCTTATAACATTTCCAATCTCTCTCTGAACTAGAAGCCCAAAAAGGGAAGATGTTTCTTCTTAAATCCTTGAGGACAGTCACTTCTATTGTGGAGAAAAAGTACTGTTTCAAATAGTTTTAAATATCCGAAGATATTTAAAATCATATTTAGGTTATTTATATTACTTTTTATGTTGTGGTAAAATGTCTAAACAAATCCTATATTTTCTACTAATCTCACTCTATCTATTCAAATTCATTACTCTCCAGAAACATGATAAATCAATCATTGTACCTTGTGTAATATAATGGGAAAAAACTCATCACATTTAGGAATAGTTTCCTCTTCAAAATAAATCCTTTTCTCTTAGAAATAAATGCAATTTTGCTTTAAAAAGGCAAAAACATATGGAAAATGTTTTAAGACAGCTGAAATTCCGAAACATATTTAGTCAGACAGAGAAAATAGTCCAAGAGGGGAAACAAAGCTAGCTTTCTTCAGTTTTAGTTATGTTGTGCATTTTAGCTTTAAATAAATAATAAATAATAAATAAAATCTGATACAAAGTAAACAATTATACCTTTAGTGGCTTTCCGGTGAGCTTCCCTCGCAACATTATAGATCTCTTCATTGGTCACTTCCAGAAGGACCTCAGTAAGCAGCATTTTCATCATTATCATCTGTAATCCAAAATAAAATGGCATTTATTGTGTCACTTTAATTAGCACCAAGTGAATGGGAATACAAATACAATTACAGGTTATCACATGGATGACAATGCCAACATTTATTGTACAGTGCACCCCATCTACTCACTGTAATTCTGTGTCGTGAGCAAGAGGTGATTTAATATATTTTTCTACTGATTCACTTATATTGGAATATTTCAAATCTGATGGTGGGTGCGTTAATTGCGACTTGGGTTAATGAAATGCTGCATTGGCAAAATGAATCACAAATCTCAAACTAAAAGTGCAAGAGACGGCTGCAGAGCAAAACAATGACTTTTTCCCATACTAAATTTACTATCTGTTGATTTAAGTTTTATATTTTTAGTAACTTTGTGTCGATCAGAGTAAAGAATGTTACCCAGTATTTACATTAAAAATACCAATTCCCATACAACAAAAGAATAGTTCTCTATTCTGCATTAAAAATAATCCTTAACTTTAGTTTTAGAAGAGGATTCTCTAATGAGACCATGAATTTTCTAGTTCCCATAACTCAGTTCCTATTATGGTTCATTAAAACTTTTGTTGAACGTTCATCTGCAACAATCCCAAATGTAGATTAAAATGGATTGATTCTTGTAACTTCAAAATAAGAATATATCACTAGTAATTAAGACGTTTTACGTTCATAGGCTTACAATTGGTGTATTGTAAATAAACCTATAGTAAATTCTTAATAATCAGCCATAATGAAGCTACCTCCCCCCTCCACACCACTAATAATTGGAATGCAACTGAATTCACTATTTGTGTGCATTACCACAACATAGTGTTCTTAATGACCAGGCCTCTGGATCAAGTATACATAATTAGCACATACTGCATAATGTTCATATAAGGTTTAATTTCTGTATTATTTGGAATAGTCACAAAACCTGCAACTCTGGGGTTAAAAGTTAGCCACAACTTCAATTTTCCTCTTAGATCTAACAAATTAATGTTTTTCAATTAACAACAGGATTCAATTAATGATATTGGCAAAATTGAGATAATTTGGAGAAGTGGAGCAGGAGGTTAGTGCATTATTTCCCTACCCAATAATAATGCTGAATAATAGGATGCAGAGAATTGAGGGTCCACTGTAAATGCTTTGGTTGTCAACTGAAAATAACATCCAATTCCTTATCTGTGTGTGAATAATGTCTTTCCTGGTTGATAAGAACGAATGTTGTCCATGTATCAATTACACAGATTTAAACTCTGCTGACAGGCATGCTCTGTCTGTACTGTACTTGCACTGCTCCCCCATTCCTAACAGAAATATAATGTACAATCAAAATCCCTTCCCCCCCTTAACCCCCCAACCCCAGCTCGGGTCTGAAATGCTGTACTCTGTCTAGTGCCTTAGGACATCCTCCCGACATGAAAGGCGCTACACAAATGTAATCTTGTTGTTGTTATTTACAATTTATGTCATTTGCCAGTTGGAACGATTCAATAAACAAAACCCCATAGATTAAACAAATTAGAAATGAATCAAAAATTAAGATTACAACATACCATCTGAAATTCCTTTTCTTCTTCAGTCATTTCTGGTTCACTCTGTTCCTCTTGAGTGACAGGAGAAGGACTCCGGCTTGGCTTGTCACTAATTTTGGTTTCAGTAGGTTCATATTCCTCATCATCATCATCACTGTCCTAAACACCATAAACCAGAGTAATACTGATCTTTAAGCTTCAAAACCTTTAGTAGAAATTGATTACCAGCCAGTCATTTGGTACTTCTTTTTTAAAAAAATCCACAACCCCCTTACAAAAGGCACATTCTGTAAATAGTACTTACCAAAGCAGGCAGGTGATCAACAGCTCCAAAACAAGCATGCACTTTGTGCATAACAGAGGAGTACATCAGTATTACTTGAACAAAAACAAGTGCGTATATCTCTTGTTTTTCCTGTTGTAATTAGTGGGCTACAAAATAGCTGAATGGTCAATAGAGTGGACTGATAGGTCTCACAAACTATATCTGTTTTGCTGAATTTTTGTTTCTGGAGTTAAAAATGTTGAGCTGCAAAGCCAAAATACATGTATCTACCAAAGTCACCATCCTAACATTATGCAGATTTTACACACAACTGTATTTTCCATTAGTAAAGTTTCATAGTAAATCAAGCTGGACAGATTTTCTTGACAAAAGGCAGTTCCTTGCTGGGGATTACAGTAATAGCACTCTTGGTAGCATGTGCATGTACTTACAAATTTACTTTTGTGCGGCAATCTGGGTCCATCAGTTTCTTCATGTACTTCTTCTGGATCTTCTTTGTGTTTTGAAGATTGTGCTCGTTCTTTTGCTAACCTTTCTTTTTCAAGTTTTTTCTGTTTTTCCCGTTCCATCTTCTCCAGTCCCTCACGGATCCAAGCTGGCAAGGTTCTGCGTTTCACAGCGTCTGCAACATTGAAGGTTTAATTTTTCAGATTATAATATCCAAGTTTAAGAATAGGCAATTTATATTTTTCCTGCTCCACCACAAAATCTATGAACAATCAACATTAACATTTATTTTCTTTCAAAATTATAAATGAGAGCACTTACCGCTAGTTTTATCGCTCTTAACCTAAACTGTACTTGGTGGAAAAACTGAAGGGTTCAGTTGCTGCCCACAGGCTGTTTGAAGAACTGGAAGTAAAGTGCTATGATTGTACTAGCACACTTCCAGCTATTGGTTACATATTGGTAAAAGTCTGGGAGCCTGCCAAGAAATGTGGCGTATTCGTACGGAAGCTAAAGCCAAGAAAAAATGTAAAATGGGGTGCTGCGGGGAGGGGCGGAGGGAGTGGGAAATAAAATAATATTTTTGAATACTGGCCTCTCATTACCAAATCCCAAATTTCAATTCACTCCAGAATGACACAATGAAATGCACTTTTTCTGAAATGCGCAAGGCTTCTAAGCAAGTTTATTTTGGAGACTTAATCTATTATGTTCTCTTTTTTCACTTTTTCATCAGATACAGTAGGAATATTAATGCTCATTATTGAGTGTGAAGCTCACCAGAGGCTCATAAGAAGTTCCTGATACCTGCTATCCACCAAACATGGGCTAAAAAAATTGCAATGTAGAGCTTAAAATATATACAGTAGGATCTTTATTTCGGATCTATCCTGTGTTAAGATACAATCTGGTCTCAAAAATAAATCCTAGCTCTAACATCTGGAAAAAATTTGTTCCTTAAAATTCATGCTAACTAAACAAACAGCTATTTTTAAAAGAATTATTACAACACAATACAAATTTCCGTTTATATAACACCTTTCATGATGGGAGGACACCCCAAAGCAATTTACAGTACTAGCTGGGTACCTGAGTTGGGAGTGTGAACTGAGGGGGTGAGAGGAGAAAGATGACCAAAGGCATTGTTAAACAAGTGGGGTTCGAGACTGATCTTGAATGAGGTGAGGAAGGGAGCAAATCAGAGGAATCAAATCGGAGGATCCATGGGATGGAGTTTCAGAGTGTGGGACAGACAGGCTGAAAGTTCACCCATCGTGAGGTGGGTAGGGAAGGGGACATGAAGCAGGACGGACGGTGCTTACTAAGCAAAGGGAGCAGATGGATCATTTGGGTTTGAAAAGATGGCAGAGGTATGGTGACAAAAGGTCATGTTGAAATTTAAAAGTGAGAATGAGGACAATTAACTTGATCCACTGGCGGATGGGGAGCCAAGAATGCTGAGCAATTGATTGATTCATTGATTGAATATTCATTTTTTTTCCAAAACATGGTTAAATTCAATTTAGGAGGCATTTTGATGAATACCTAGCAACTGAATTCCAATAAAGCTCCCAAGAGAACACTTTCCTAATACACCTTATATAGTACCTTCTGTGTAAAACACAGAATAATATTAATTAGAAATGTATGCTGTTAAGGAGACAAAAATGGCAGCTAATATTGCTCCAGCAATATCCTACAAGCAAAAACGAGTTGAGTAGGATTTTTAAACAGAATTTTTGGATTGAATCTGGATAGAAAAGGAATATAAACTGAAACGATAACTGGGAGAAAACATTTTTTTCTTTTGGAATAGCAGCAGGATGCAATAAATAAACAGTACCAACTACATAAAATAATCAAAAGACATTTAAGGCACACAAATGATATAGTGAAATAAAGTCTCAATTGTTGAAAACAAAGCTCACCAAGAGCAGGAGGGTCTGGTTTTACTGCTATGGGTGAGCGTGGCCGATCTCTGTAAGACGGACGCTCTCTACGATTTGGTGGTGGTCCAGGTTGCCAGAAAGGCTGATGAAATCCTCCTGGAGGACCATAAGCTGCCCCATGCTGTAGATACAAAACACATGCATTTAAAAGGTTACCCAAGCATTTATTGGACAAACACATGTTTATTAGTCCCTGCAGCACCAAGTACGGTTGGGGGGAGATTATGTATTTGCTCTGTTTGATTTGTAAAAATTCAAAGATTGACTTGGTCACCATACCCATCATTCATGCTTCAGTTTTGAATTAACTGAGAAAGTAGCCTTTAAAGCTTCTTTTCAGCAAATGCAAATCTTGTTTTTCACTATGTTTCTTCCATTTCTAAAATATAGGATGGGAATCAGTAGGAACAAAGTAAATAGGCTTTCACCTAAATTTAAAGTTAGAAAAGATAGGGTAGATTATGCAAAAAGAATAAAATTAAAGTTAAAAAAACAATTACAGAAATAGAGAATGGGAAATCAGAACTAATAGGTGTTCAGATATAATAGCAGGGTTGTTTTTTTTCCAACTTTGCAGCGTATTTGTTGCATTCTAGCAGACGCCCATCAAAAACTGACAAAAAAACATACCAGCTCCATGGACATTAGTAAAGAGTGGATTCATTCTAAGAAGATCTCGATGGCTTACATCAACCCAGAGCGTCCACTTTAGTCTTCCAAATAAATGGCATACAGAAAGTTGAAAAGCGAATTTTTAAGTTTTTTTTAAAAAAAAGCCATTTACAAGCAAGTCATTTCCATTACTATCTATTCATGGTTACTGATACTTTCAAAAAGAATAAATAAAATTCAGTTATTGGGAACTAATTGTATATATGTAGCTATATTGCTCAGGTCTTCTCAATTTTTGTTCCTTTAAAAAGGAATACATTGCACTTTTTAAAGTGACGTTCATTGGAACACTATTCTCATAGGTACGAAAGTAGGTGTTACAAAACAGACGAGAACAACCAAAAACTACATTACACAGTTTTACCTGATAATCAAACTGGCTGACTGGAGCCGCTCCCATCCCAAAGTTTTCCGGCGCTCCTCCAAAATTGTTGTTATTGACTTGATTGAACATACGTCTGGATTCCGGTGTGAACTCACCACTATCCTGGCTGCTGTCTTCAGCTGGAGGGGCTATTTCCATAGGGGCTGGGGTTGGAATCCACTGCTGTTCAGGTGGTGGGTGAGGTGGTCGATGGTGCTGCTGCATTCCCCAGTCTAATTAAGTACAGAAAGCCAAAGGAGCATTTAACAGTTGACATAACTACAACAGATTTTCATTGAATTTCTAGCTGGTGCTTATTTTTAAGCAATTGTATTCACAGCAGACTTTAATTGATTTAAAATTTGTTTGGATTGCAGCAGCCATTTTGGAACTTTACCAAAATTGCATGAAATTGTGATTTCTCTACCTTGAAAAGACTTGCTTACTTGAAAGGATTAAGAACAACAAGGATGATTCTTGACTTAAATCTTTAAATTATGAAGAGGGACTCTTGAGTTACATTTGAGTATAAAAGTTCTGCAGAAGCTTTCCTTCAAAATTGAATGGGCTGGATAAAGAATTTGTGACTGTACAATATGTAGAAAAAATACATCATTGGGCCAAGACCTTTTCATGCTTTATGTCCTTAATCATAAAGATCATTTATCGCATGTGTCAGACACCCGGCTGACCAAAACTCATAAAGACAGAATTTAATATGTTCCATTGGAATTAACTTATTAGCTTTATTATATTACCTACATATCAAACCATGTGACAGCACAAGTAGCTAAATATGTATTCCACTGGCTAACGCTGTTTTATAATACAATTCTTCAAACTCCCCAAATTTAACATTTAAAATGACATTTCTTTAACACCAAGTCAACACAAGAGTACCTCTGCAAGATAATACAAACCTTGTTCCCACATTCTGTTGAAATTAGGATCTCCTGGAAAATTTGCATGGTTGTCTGGAGCATTTTCTATGGCATGTACTGCCTGCCCATTGGGTATGATCACTGGCTGAGGTGTTGTTACAGGTTCCTCGGTGGCCTCTCTCTGTGCAATCCATGCTTGTGCTAATGCTGCCCAGTCTATCTGGCCTGAAAGTTTTAAACCAAAGATAACTTAATACACATCCAATGCAGTTCTAATAATGTATACAATGCATAACTTGTGTTTCTTCAAACATACACCATTAGTTAATAAACAGTTTTTACATTTGATATCTACTACCTAGGACTGAGGATTACACACGTGATACAAATTATGCAATAGGCATATGAATAAATAATTCAGTATGAGAATACTGGGTCCATTTCCACTTTAATGACTTTTGTTCAAACCTATAGAAGGCTTAGTACATGTCAGTGGAAAGCTCACTGTGCTGTTTAAAACACCAGCTTGGCTGTACTTAGGGAGCAGGATTTATCTTAACCTATTTTAATACTTTGCTAGAAAACATCACAGTAACAGCATTAATTATTTTTGAGATGAAGCAAGTGAGAGTGGAAGATTGAGAATCTCTTTTTTCCCAATGACATGGCCTACCAAGCAAAACTGAAGAACTAAATTAAATAAAAAGAGGGAACATGGAAAGTGAAATGTTTAACATAATTATAAACACTTTTCCAAAGTGAAAACAAGGGAGCAAAGGCTATGATCAACAATACGACTTGGAATCTATACATCAATTTAAATATTGTAATAGAGAAACAAGATTGATCAGTATATTAGGTATGTGAACAAGGTCAGGGCAAAAGAATCTGTGACTAAAAAAGGACCAAGATGTCAAATATTAGCAACAAGTCAAACATGAGACTTTACAAGTGTTCTATTATATAATTCTGTATGGTAAAGATTTGAGCATTAAACATGAGAAGAAAATGAGCTTTCCAAACAACAATAATTTACATTTATAGCCTTGGGATATCCTCCTGAAGTGAAAGGTGCTATACAAATGTAATTTTGTTGTTATATAGTGCCTTTCAAGTCAGGAGGATGTCTCAAAGAGCTTTACACAAATGACTGGGACCTGAAGTGGGGGGTGGAGAGAGAAAGGTGCCTGAAAGCGCAGTAGAAGAGATGGGTTCTAAAACAGATTTGAATGCGGGAGGAAGGGAGCAGAGCAAAAATAATTCTGGGATGAGACTTCTAGAGAGCGAAAGTAGAATAGATTAAGACTTGGCCACTAACGGTGGGGTGGAATTGGCGGTAGACATGAAGCAGACTGGTGTTTGCTGAGCAGATAGACAGGACAGTAAGGACGGAGGAGTCTGCAGAGTTATTGTGAGTTAAGGCCATGGAGATTTGAATGTGAGCGTGAGAATTTTTAATTCAATCAGCTAGGGGTTGGGGAACCAGTGAGACAAATATGGTGCTACCACAAGCTACTTATGATCCCTTCACCTGTACACAGGCATCAGTTTACAGAGAAAAACAGATTAAATGGTTTGTTTACCAGATCCACCATTTTCAAATAAGGTGCTAGATTTTTTTTACTCATGAGATTAGGCTGATGGTGCAGAGTCTCAGGCTCTGCTGTTAAAGTGTTTAGCATTAAAAGAAAAATGAAAACCTGAAAGTAGTTCCAAATAACTTTTAAAAAAAAACATTTTAAATGCATTTGGTCCTACCTGCACACTGCTGCCTTCTACAAACAGTAACACTTCTTTCACAGAATTGTTAAATTGATAATAATAATCCTTGCTTTTCATATAGCACCTTATCACGTTTTCAAGACATCTCAAAGCACTTTCCAGAATATACTGTAAAGTGAATTGAATGTATATTTTGTGGGAGAAACTCAGCAGCCAATTGCATACAGCAGTGTTCCACAAACAGACTTGGATTGGGTGACCAATTATTAGTATTATTTATTTTTGGAGGGATTATTTCTCCCAGAAAAGCAATCTGCCAATTGACTAACAACTGGGTTCCTACTTCTAGGTAAACAGAGCATGTGGATTAAGGAAACTTGCCCAATGTTTCGCCCTGCCCAGAGGCGAATGCTCTAACCACTAAACTACAGGACTCCATTACCAATTCATGGTGAAAACTACATTTTCACATTACAAAAAACTTTTCAGTTTAAAAAATGCACTATCTACACTCAAGCGAGGCCGTAATCTTTTTTCTTCGAGGATTAAACTGTACCAGGGAAAAAATATTCTATTCTATTTATAATCTAGAGAGCAGTGCCAGTACTAGTAAATGGACTGAGGATTTGTCTTTTTCTAAGAAAACAGAATTTTTTAAAGGTGTATAGCTTAATTTTAAACAATGAAAATTGAATTCGATTTTGACAAAAATTATGCTTCTTTACATTGAACACAAAAAATAGTATTCTTCTGTAAGAGATGGCTGCAAAAATATGAATGGAGGCAAAGTAAAAAAAAATGGAGGATGGATTTCCAAAGATAGTTTAAGATTTGCCCATTAATAGTGGGGTGTAGTGGGTAGGGGATGTGAAGTAGGCTGATGTTTACTAAGCGGAGGGCACGACCTGGCAGCAGCTGAAGTCTTAAACTGTTCTGCCTCGTTCTCTGGAACTCCATCCCAGAATCTTTTTGGTTTTGTTTAGGATTTTCAAGGAGCAATTTGATAGACTAAAGAGTACAACAATCATTTACTCTCAACAATCTTACAACTCCTACTACATCAAGCAATGACACTAATTTTCACAATTCAAATATTCTACTGTCTCCTTCATGTGTAGAAATTTACTTGGATCCTGTTGCTGCTGAAATGACTGCATCCACTGTTGCTGGCTCAAAGGCCACTGCTGCCAGGGTTGGCCACCTTGATCCCACATCTTCAACTGTTGAATTTCAGATGTTGAAAACCTATAGAGAAAATAAATAAAGGTTACTTATTTAGCTGTTTGTTTTGTTCTCCAGAATAACCTGAAAGATGACCAATGTCAAAAATCAAACTAGTTGTACAAACTGGATAACCAGGAACATTAAAGTTCATTTTTTACGTGTCCTGCACTGATCATACTGGCAGAGGATAATTGTGGAAATATTAACAGCGGTACTGCTCAGAAGCCAGGCGTTTTCTTTTAACTTCCATTTGTACAAAACAGCCATGAAGATGAATGTCAATACAGGACAAAATGGATACCTAGCCAATGACTATCCAATTCAGCAGGATTTTACTACACCACATATTTGGTTTTCACTGACCCAACACAAGCATTGCCTTATTTACACAATTTCAACACTGCAATTGTTCATTATTGAAACCAGCCTAATACTAAGATCCATCTCAAGTATATCTTTCACCAAATCCAAACAGATTATTATCATCATATATGAGATGATGAGGCATCAATTGAAAATTGATGAGTATATCACAATAAATTAAATCTCCCTCCCAGAGCACGTGAAGCTTTCATTAAAAAGATTTAATCAACTCCTTTAAAACAGTGTTATATAAAGAATTGGTTGGGAACATCGCTAAAAGTTATGAGGATAGTACATGATCAAATATTTCTGGAGCATAATGATTCCTATGTTACTGCGTAAGGGAAGGGGGAAACTAGGTTATGGGGGGCCACAGGTTAGTCAGAATTCAGAAGTATAAATGCGAAAATTGATTAAATCTGAAATTTAGTTTGCTGACATTTGGGTATTAAAGTATTTTGGTAACAAAGAGGCTGCGGCTCAGGTTTGAGAAGAAAAAGGAAAAAGAAAGTTTGCAAAGACTTCATATTGTCTTCCTGTGTCTATTGAGACAGAAACCACAAAAACATTTAAAAGAATAAACATTTGAAGAGGAAAAAGTATTTTTAAAAAAGTTATATGAAGAGCATAATTGGTTAGCAAAGTGAATGAGCTAATTCCAGTTTAGACTCGATGGGCTAAGTGACCTAATTTGCTGTCATTTCTAAAATGTATACAAAACTTTCATTCGGCAAATTAAATGAGTGGAGTGAAGCCCGGAACGGAGAAGACAATACACAATCCATAAAAAAAGCTTGATGGATTGAATTCTTTATTTGTTTCATCCTTGTCATGGAAAATAACTGTTTGTAAGATGAATATAGATTGTAACATTAGATATTCCAGAGCCAACTTTTGGAGGAACAGGGAAAGAAAGCAGTAATGTCTCAAGAGATTAAATTAATTGGGTAGAATCCATTATAGAAACATTTTCCATTTCTTCCTTTCTTATGTAACTACCAATGTATGTGGAGTTTAGCCTAGTAAAGTCTAAACTGAATTTGTTATAAACAGATGTACCTCACATCAGTTTCTGAAAAAACACAGCAAATGCATTAGCTATTTTTTAGCCCATACTTGTATTTGATATAGCAACTCATCACGTTGTTGAAACGTCTCAAAATGCTTCACAGGATTTTAAAATGTAGTGACCATTTGTAAGCAAATGTGGCAACCAATTTGCACACAGTAATATCCCACAAACACAAATGAAGTGAATGTCCAATTTTATCTGGAGGACCGCTGGATAGGACACTGGAAGAATCTCCCTTCTCTTTTCAAATGGTGTCATGGGATCTTTAACATCCACTTGAACAGACAGATGACACCTTGTTTTTTCACGTGATAAATGTTGGGTGAACCTTTTGCAAGACCTCTGCATCTTTACCATGGATAGCACAACTTTTGCCTTCAACTGTGTTGAGATGGTGGGAAGGGAACTCTGATTGTGCTCGACTCTCTTCAATGATAACAAATTCGCAATGCAGATTAAACTTGTGGCCTATAAGATGCTTGTCCAAACAGTTCTTCATGGTTCATTATTCCTGGACATGCAATGGAACGATTTCCTTCAGCCCATTTGCAAAGTCCAGGAACAATATTGAGGCGGTTGGGCTGGGGGGAAGGGAGCAGCTCCACACGGGCACATCTCTTTACCAAGGTCCCTCACAAAAGGACTGGAATTAGGCAGTTGGTGTTGAGTAAATCTGGTACACTATAATGGACTTAGACCACTATAACATCCAGGTGGCACCTCGTAAGTAGTTCTGATTAAAACTTTCCACCACCTTACAACAACAAGATTACATTTGTATAGCGCCTTTCAAGTCAGACATGTCCATTGAATAGCTGATGAGCAAACTGAAGATTGGGATGACAGTTGCTGGAAGGCATGACTTGGAGCCCAGGTTCGTGAGCATATGATCACATATCCAGGGCTTGATATCTACCCTGATTGGTTTGCAAGAGGTAAGCAGCTGCTGCTGAAACTACTTTCCATTGGTAGAACTACCACTCAATATGCAGGGGTGGATGACTATGAGCACAAGGATGGTGGCACTGCTCTCGCGCATGATGATGAGCTGTCCTGCTCACCAAGCGGCTCGTAGAGTTCTTGATGCCTGCTATCCAACGTTTGAGGTCTTAAATTGATGCTTGTTGGGTATCTAACAACCAACCTTGGAGAGGGGAGAGGGGGGGGGAAGAAAAGTATTAGCTCCTTGGTGTGCTGAGTTGGCTCTACGGGAACATCCTTGGCAATGGAATATTATAATCAAGTCAATCCTACTTGCAGTCTCAGTAGTCCAAATCCCAAGCTACTCGTATCCCTAGTACTCCAAGGCACTTCTGATAACCGCTCTTCGGCAGAACTTGGGAGAGACGGGGGGGGAGGGGGGGCACACATTCTTCCCTCCTTTGTTGCACAGTTGTGTTCCTGAGCTTTGGCTCTTGTCAACTGTACCTAATACAGTATTTTCTGGAAGTCGTTAACGTGTACTCATAGCAAAATATCCATACTACGTTGTTTGCATATATGGAACTCTCTCTGGTTTGTATACTCTCAAGCATGAAGATAATTTTTTGTGTGCCACGCGTCCAGCAGACCAAAAATATTTATTTGATCAGGTCAGTCCAGAGAAAATTACTATTCTGGTATCAATCCTGGGCACTCATCTTGGAAAAATTAGAGCTGTTTAATTTCTCCATTAATGAAATTTAAGAATATACAATAGAGAATTAGAAAGCTATCTGGGCACAATGTTTCTTTAAACTCCAATTTTTAGTTATTCACACAAGAAACTCAACCATGAAAGATTCTATATCAGAGTATTGATGAAATCTAGTTTTTAAATGTGTATTTTATCTTATCTATTTAATTAAACCAAGGATCAGTAATTCAGCTTCCACATTGGAATTGCGTACATCATTATTATTAGTATATCAAAAAAAGCAAGCATTATTATTATTATTATTATCATGATTCATGGGACTGCTCTAATTAAATTTTGGGTACCCAGCAACAACAACAACAACAAAATTACATTTATAGAGCGACTTTCACATCGAAAGAACGTCCCAAAGCACTGAACAGTCAGGTGCCGGGGGCCGAGGATGGGGGCGAGGTGGTGTAGGGGTGAGGGAAGGCAGAGGTGGGAGGGCGACCAAAGGCACAATTGAAGAGAAGGGTCTTGAGACCGGCCTTGAAGGGGGCAAGGGAGGAAGCGAGGGGAAGGGACCATGGGATGGAGTTCCAGAGTGTGGGGGCAGAGAGGCTGAAAGCCCGGCCACTGATGGTAGGGCAGATCGGGCGGGAGACATGGAGCAGACCGGAGACCGCCGAACAGAGGGTGAGGGCAGGTTGGTAGGGAGTCAGCAGTCAGAGAGGTAGGAGTGGGAAAGGCCATGGATGGCCTTGAAAATGAGGATCTTAAACTTGATCCTCTGGGGGATGGGGAGCCAGTGGAGTCGGGTGAGGGTGGGAGTGATGGGGTCACTGAGGCTGGTGCGCGAGAGTACACGAGCTGCAGAGTTTTGGATGATCTGCAGCTTGTGAAAGGAAGAGTTGGGAAGGCCGATGAGGGAGTTTCCGTAATGGAGCCTTGATGTGACAAATGCGTGAGTGAGGGCTTGGGCAGCCTGAGGGGTGAGGCAGTGGCGGAGTCTCAGTTCTCACCTGCCTAGCTTCTCCTACTTTGAACCACTATTTCTGCTACACATTTTATATTAAAAGCAACCTAAAGAATGAACAAACTCAATCTGTCCAAATACATTTTTTTGTCTGGCTTTAGGTACCTGATCATAATGAAAGCTGAATTTTGGCATTCAATGTGTGACTATCTCAAGAAGCTAGTCACATAAGGCTTGGGTTTCATACTGGCTACAGTACAACAATTTACACTTATATCATGCCTTTCATGCAAGATAACATTTCAAATTGCTTTACAAATAATGGAACCTGAGCAAAGTGAGAAACCGGGGGCAATGGAAAGGAGTAGATTGAAGACATAGTTGAAGAGATAGGTTTTTAGAAGGGCTTTTAAGAGAGGGAAGATGTGAGGCAGAGATTTTAATATATAATAATAATTCTTGCATTTGATATAGCGCCTTATCACGTTTTCGAGACTCTCAAAGCACTTCACCTAAGTTAATTTACTGCATATTTTGTCGGCTAAATGCCAATTGTGCACAGCAGTGCAGTGTCATGGATTGAGTAATCAAATTATTATTTTAAGTGAATGCACGACAGCTTTGTTCAAAACACTATTCAAAAGTTGAGGTTCCAGGTGATTCACTTGCCTGCCTTCCTAGAGTTAACAAGGCTCTCGACATCCTACTTAAACAAATTCACTGCATTTGTAAGACAGCAAACGAAGGTATGTGCATGCATCAAAATAGGTGCAAAGCAATCTGTCATTGCTATTTCAAATGAACAATGAGTCTTCCTTCCAGTTATCTTTGCTTATGTTCACCCCCACCCCAAAATAAAAAATAATTGCTACTCTTCTTATTGTTCTTTGCAGGATGCTGCTGGTACATATTAAAACAATGTTGGGCTTTATTGCATTAATTTTCATTTCACACTCTTCCTCTATCTTTCCGCCTTGTCCCCTCCTTCCCCATTT